CTTCTTACCCAGAGCTGCGGCTTACCACTTGCCCTCTGGAAGTTCTCAGTTATCTCATCCGAAACATAGAAATATACCAGATTTTTTCTAAAGTTCAGAAATTCTGTGATTCTAGTTCATCCCATTTGGCCGGAGATGAGAAAATCAGAATGGAAAAGGCACTAGGTCTTACCCTTTTCTAATCACAAGATAATTCAAGTGTTGACCTTTTAAAAATGAAAATCTGATTGAATGTGTCCTTTTTTCAGACTTTCCGGAGGCTTCCTATTATCACCAGAATAGCCACAGTCCTTAGCATGGCACGTAAGGCCGTTTGGGATCTGGCTCTAGTAACTTGTCTTGCTCATGTCTCACTGTTATGCTTCATCCGCTCACCCTCGCCTCCCCCTTGCCCGCCAGTCCCCGCCCCTCTGTATAAAATTGCCAGCCGTGTTAGGCTACAGCCCCTTGATCATGTCATGTTCTGTCTCATTTCTTGGTCTTTACCGTGCTAGTCCCTCTGCCTGAAATGTTTTATTTCCATTCTTCTGCCTCTTGATTGGCTAGTGTCTACTTAAATTTTAGTAGGCATAGAAGTCACCTTCCCATGGAAGCCTTCTTGGACTCCCCGAGGCGGGGTTAAGTGCCTCTGTTGAGTTCTGTCTTGATACCTGTGCTTATAAAACTTATTCCCAGCACTTTGGGAGGCTGAGGCGAGAGCATGGCCTGAGCCCAGGCGTTCAAGACCAGCCTGGGCAATGTGGCAAGACCTCATCTCTACAACAAATAAAAAAAAATTAGCCAGGCATGGTGGCACGTGCCTATAGGCTTAACTACTTAGAAAACCGAGTAGGAGGGATCTCCTGAGCCCAGCAGGTCGAGACTGTGGTGGCCATGATTATAATTCATAATATATTCAAATTACCCGTTTGCTCCTGTCTCCTGAACTGGAAAGAATTTCCTTAGGGGAGGGAACTAAGTCTTATTTCTTTTCATTTTTCCAGCACTTAGAGCAGTGTAGCAACACTCATTAGTTATTCCATGAATCTTTGGGTGAATGGGTTAGTATCAAATGTGGAAAGCCTTGAATAAGTGTCAGGCCAGTTAGTTGAACTTTTTAGTGTCAACCCTGGAAAGCCTTTTATGAAGGGATTAATCATGATGGCAGATTATAGCCTCATTCCCCCACCTGGCTTACTCAGTGCGGTCCTATGGAATAGTGGTGCATTTATGTGCAATAAGTAAATGTGTATTTTTGTACAAAATTGGATTCTATCTTATTTGATTAAAATATACAACGTTTAACCAGGCTCTGTGGCTCAGCCTGTAATCCCGCGCCTTTGGGAGGCTGAGGTGAGTGGAT